GTTTAGGGTTAAGTTGAGAAGATTTTATAACTCGTTGGGAGAGGTGAGTAAAGATGCTTAATAGGAAATGACATTTTCCTGGGGAAGTAGAGTTACGAATTCTTATCGATCTGCGTTCCTGAAAGCCTACATTCAGCACAAACTTCTACCAATAGCCTTCAAAGCAAGGCTTCAAACAATTGCTGCTCGTTCAAATTCTTCAAGAATTGTGAGTCTTTAAGACACAGTTTAAAATATGCTGGTTAAGTAAATGTTTTAATGGAAGTCAAGCATAATTCCTATCTTTAAGTTGGAAGGAGCGAAATGAATTGAGTGATCTTTCAAGACGTAGGAGGCCTTTGATGATTTAAGTTCTTAATTTATTACCTTTCATGACAAGCTTGACCATCACATGCTGTGCACAATCAGGTCAATATGGTGATTCATTCACCTTATTGTTTCAAATGTATACACCATGTGAGGTCACGTTGATTTCAATCTGTGATATTTCACAAACATAGATGCCCATGCTTTTGCGGATTTACTATTTTTCAAGGTAGAGACACCGTCTCCCCAACATCCACTTTCATACATACACACACACACACACACACACACACACACAACACTTAGTTGGTAAACTTTGTTTTGGGATCCGCATGTGTGTCACATGCAAATCCTCTATAAATTCGCACATTTCATCACTTCCAGAATCAAAATTTTCTTTGTTACATAATTAATTATGGGATTGGGGGGGGGGGGTTGGTTGTATCAATAAGGTAGAATTCTTAGCAGGTTTGAATGATTTTACACTTGTATTTTTTCTAATTCGATATAATTTTCATCCATTAATTTATGGCGTTTAGTCTCAAAAGTTAAATTCAATAAAGCATTCCCTCTTCACTTGTTTGATGGCCTTGAGTTTGAAATAATTAGGTTAAAGTACACATCCATAAGCCGTAGTCAAGACAACGCATTTAATATAATTACAATTTTAGGTAAGGAAGCCTCCCAATACAAAGGATCAATTATGCACTTTCTAAAGTTGACCAATACTTTGTTCGCGTAAGAAACATTTTGCAAAATTCGCCTTCACATTAGGAGCAAATGAATTTTTCATCTAGGCATGAATAGTGGGTGACGGAGCTAATATCTAGAAGTGAGCCGATTAAATTGTTTTTGAGTCGGAGCAGATACTTGATAACTGGCTAACCGACTATTTTGGAGGCATCGATTATCGAATAAATCTCACCACTCTATAGTATTAACTTGTGTCATTTGCAGTTAAACCTTCCCGTCCGATTTAAAATGAATTACATCCGCCGTTCAGGATGACAATTCGGAATCCATTTTGAATTTTCACATAACATTTGGCAAAATTTGAACAAAACGAAGCAAACCCAAATATCTCCAAAATTGAAATATAGACGCAGAGAACGAAATCGTGAATTCCGTGTTGCCAATTTGTCTTGTAACAAGACTCATATTTTTTATATTGGCTCCGATTTTTTTGTTTAAATTATTTTGACTATCCAATACTGCCTGGCAAACTTTAGCAAATAACATTAGACACCTTGCTCTTTCTCTACTAACCATACGAAGTCTAATTCCAGCAACATATGCTTAGTTATATCTCAATAATAATAATAATAATAATAATAATAATAAACTTTAACTTGAATGTATGTAATCTTATCCTCACAAAGTTACCGTGTTAATGTCTGCTTGTTTTCGTTTAATTCAGAGCAAGTAGTTTAAATTGAATCAGCTATATGCTTGTTAATATCTATTTCTTTTGTGATAAAACACTGGAAAAAACAATTAATTTTGTGATCGACAAAGTAATAAAACTCGACATCCGCTATTTCTAACGATTTACACTACATACTTATACACACACCGTGCGATTCGATATCGCTAAGGTTAGGTCAAGGATAATCAAATTAGAGGCTTTCTGATGTTCTCGCATTTGTTTTCACCCCGATGGAGTAAAGTTAGAAAAAAAACGTGGTTTCGGGTTTGGTAGAATGAAAACATGTACAATAATGCTAACAAACGTCTTTACACGAGATTGTACTTTACTAAATTTTAAAGGCGAATGGAGGAAGAAAGTTGTCTCTCATAAATTCGTTCATATTTAATATTTTGAGTGGTTAAATTGGAGCAAATAACTGCCCTTCTATTGGCGTCTTATCAGTGACGATTCTTAACGAGACCTTATCAATTCAGATCAAAATCATGGATTTTGTCATCACAATTACTCTCACTTTGGTTGCCATTTCACAAATTATTAAATTGCCTTAAATATAAGTTTAAATTCTAATTAACCATGACAAGACTCGTTAATGGTATTCTCTTTATTTCATCAGAGAATTCAACACGACGAACTTCGACAAATACTTCTAGACTCTTCGATATAATCAAATGATATTTCAGAGCGCGTTTATAGGATTTCATGTAAACACCTTTGAATAGCAAAATTCGACTTTTCGTTACTATTTAAAATTCCAGATGATATATATATATATATATATATATATATATAGATTAACTCAATCTCAATTATAACTGATTATGTTCAAGTAATTGTTTTAATTAACAAGGACACTGATCTTTCGTGTTTTTCCTCAACGTTTGTTATGAATTGCAATAGATTGGCCAGTTGATTTCATTTAAAGTTAGCTATTGGTTAGGCCAAAGTCAGATTTCTCGGGGGTTGTGACTGCATTTAAAGTGAGTTCTTCGTTATGATTAGCCAATTTCTCAGTAACTATTGTGAAATCAGTAGAATTCAGTGTCTTTACCACTTGCTTTAACACGGTTAATGTTACAATGTTTATGTTCTCACACCCTTTGTATTCGTGCCTATACTTGTAATTAATTGTCTCACTAGAGTTGTGGTGTGTGATTACACCACTTCCACAGTACTCATCTTACCTTTTCTCTACCCTTGTGTCTGTATCTTTTACATCTGTGAATTACTCTTCTAACCCCTCCCTCGAACTTTTCTCACTTTGATTCTTCTATCTTCTGTGAAGCCCGAAGTCAACTAAAGGCCAAATGAAAACTAGTAAAACAACTGGCATTTGTAATAAATCTCACTAGAGAATTTGAAAAATATGCAAATTGAATTTAACGGTGGTAAAATTATGTAATTCGTAATAATGGACAAATTTAAGAAACAAAATAAGGAGAGTTTAAATTTGTAGGTATTTGAATTGGCGACCTCTCTCAAATTAAAAAAACTGTTAAAATTTGACCGCGAATGGAAATGAAGGTAGCGTCTTAGTAACGCTCTTTATTCACAGAAAGCTTTTAGTGTTTATATAAAACGGATCTCATTGAAAAGACAATTAATGGGAGATATCGCATCGCATCACTAACTTATACTTGAAATCTAAATATCAACCTTTATAAATTTCAATCACCAGCAATTTTACTGTTCATCAAATAATCAACAATTCATAATATCAAGTTGCTGATTTGAGGATTCTTGGTGTTGGGAGCTTTGAAAACGGGGAAATGACTTGTGTCTTTAACGACAGAATCTCGTCATCACATATTTGAATTAAAGGAAACACAATCAGTTCCATTGCACAGCGTTAAAAGGGAAAATAAAATTATTTGTTAAGCATATTAGATTCCATAACAATTAGATTACACTTTAACTGGTATTGTGAAAAAGCAATATTCAGAAACTGCTATAGACAGCAGAAGTTTATCAGCACCTGGTGATATGAGGTGATTGATTGCCAATAAGAATTTAACTTCAATATTCACTGTCGGTCCAGCTGTGGGTTTGCCCATTTAAATGTAGATACTGAATCAGGTACTTATCTATGAGACGGGGCATTTACGATGCCACATCAGTGACGTTTAAAAAGGAAATCTTGTATATATAAACATTTTTATAAATCAATAAATTTGTGATTCTTCTCAATCACCTTGGTACTGATCTAGCAGCAAGACCAACCATGATAAACATAGCTGAAATAAGTACTTAAACGGTAGAAGACAAAATTCATCAGCGTCATCCACTCATCAGTTATATACGTTGATTGATACTGTACTGGAACTAGATGTGGCAGTTCGCACAAAATATCTTGGAACCCGTGGTCTGGTACAAAATCGTGAAATAGCAACGTAGACATCGTTTCCATTTTTGGCAAGCAAATTATTGGGAAACAAAACTGAAATTTTGATTGTCGAGCTAAAATTTTCCCATGCAAATGTTATACGAACAATTCAAACAGGCAGTATCTGAAAAATAGGAGGGCATTAACTCAGACATAAGAAAATTATGACACGTTAATGGAGATAAATGTTAATTCTTGAATGAAAGTTAGGCTAAGAATTTTTGATATCCTAATGAAGATACAGGTTTACACTCGTTCATATGTAGATCTAGTGACGAAAAAGGGCCATTTTGCGGATCTAAAAGCCAAGTTTTATCCAATTCCCAGAAGAAAATGAAACCTATTTACCACCTACCCTTGAGCCTACGAATGAGGAGAATCGCATGAGAGGACACGGTAAGGACTCAGTCATAATTTATCACCTTGTAGTGTTTTATGAAACAACCGTGTGATAAGCTAAAAAGCATGGCACTGAAAATCCTAAAAATAAAAACAGCAAAATAAAATATGGGGTTTAAACATAAGCAAAAATAAAGCAAAAATTATATCATTATGCTCGGGGAATAAATATCCAGGCATACAGACTATTTTTTATCTTATAAAGTTATAACGTCACAGTGAATCTTATAAAAAATATATGGAAATAAACAAACGTATTTAAAACAAACTTTTATACATAATAGAGAAAATGAGATATTATATATCTTCCCAGACTTAAGCGCAATTTTAAATTAAATAAAATGTGGGATTTAATTGGAAATTAAAATTTTTAAAGCGTATATGATTTAATTTTATAAATTCCCAAATTTTGTTTAAAATTGTTAACTAGGTCAGCAATATTTTGTAAATAGTGGAGCACGTTTTTACTAGACTCTCTTTTGGCAAATGAGCACTTCCTGCGAGACATTTGCCTCCTGGGCAACACACATTACTAGGTGTTCCAATCCCACTTTCAATAGCGTTGTTGATCGCTTATGGTCGAATCCATCCCTCCAAAAGGACGTTCTTGCCGTCTTATCTGGTATCACCAAAACAATTCAAGATCGCAATGGCAAAGAATCAGGTCCAGAATATTTTGCTATTTTGGTTTGTCTTTTATCTATTTTATTTAAAATTCTAGCTAAGTCTATTGAATACGGAATCAAATACGAAGACAGCAGAAGCTTACCTCTTACAACTGGTTGTTTCCAAAGCGTAAGCCGTTTTGATAATGCTTACATTTTAGTGTACCTGCGTCACTCTTGAGAAGCAAATGTGCCGAAGCAACAAAAACAATCACAAATGTACTATCAGCAGCCCTTAAGGAGGATACAATTGACACTGTTTTATGTAAATCTGTAGGTTCTCTCATTTTACCCTAGCACTTAAAAAAGCTTCTTGTTTCCCTTGGTCGAATTCTTGCGGCACAACCCACTGATGATTGGGCTTCAGAATCTCTTCGACACACCTATCGAATTTTTCTCCAATTTATCGAAAGTGAAAATGCCACTCTTCGAAGAACATCCCATAAGATGATAACCCAGCTCTTGACTTTCAGTTTTGGCACAGAAGTTGATTTTCATCCAGTATGCCATCGAACCGTTCTTCATGTTTGCAAAAATATTAGACAACAATACGAGTAGGCATTAGCTTCATACCTATCTAGTTTCCTCTCGATCCGCCCATAATTTTTGCTCTGATTATTTTTTAGGGAATTGACTGGACTTATTCGTATTACTGATAGTGGATGTAGCCGCCTTCTTTACAATTTAAGTCTCCTTAGGTCGATTATTGGCCTCGTTTCTGAGAAGGATGTTAAGATGACTTGTGAACATATTCTGGAATTGACCAGACTTAACAATTCACTGGTAAGTAAAAACATATGCTTTTCTTAACCTCCTAATCTTTCTTTCATTAAGGTTGTGAGGTCGACATTTGGCTGCATTCAAATGCTCTTTCAAGGAAGATATGGAGTTTCTCGGCTATCTCTCGAAATTGCTGGAAAGTTGATGACGGTTCTTCTCTCCTGCAAACCTCGGGATTCGGTTGCTGTCGATGCAGAGGCGCAGGAAAGAGACTCAGAAACACTGATTGCTTGGTTGGAATGTATGAGTGCTGGTGTGGGTTATCTAACAAATCTCGCGGCCGAAAATCAACAGATCGATTCAACTGAATCGCCACCGTACGTCGCTGTAGAACATTTGGGGCATCTTATCACTGCTGCGCTGAATATTGTCGTCTCTAGCCATCTTCCTAGCCTCAGAAACTCTGTGAAACGGATTATGGTTACCAGTATTTTTGTTCATTTGGTAATGTTTATGACTTTTATTGCCAAAAACTTTTCTATAAAGTACTAGGAATTTGATATATTGTGCCCTTTTGCCTATTACATATCATTGATACAATTATTAAATAATAGGTGTTCATATTACGTAACTATTCGGAGGTATTTAGATTGATTATCTGTTATTTATCCCGATGATTTGAGTGATCGACCTCACTGTCCTCTTTAATGTTAAAATGGATTCAATAGACTAAGTGGTTTAAAGTCTATTTGTAATTTAATTTCTTTGATAGCGTTTGTCGCTTCCTGAGTAGCTTATGTCACTGAAATGTTTCTTGTTATAATAGCCTGCACTCGGGTTTACTTGCTCACGTTGTTTCTTGCCATTTTCCCTCATAGAACGAACAAATTCGTGTCTGTGACCTTCTTACTAGACGTCCACGTCTCCTTCCTGATCTCTGTCTCACACTTCAAAATGCCCTTGACTTGGCTCGCCGAGAGACCTGGACAAGTCTCCTAAATCTTTCCTCCCATCTTCTCCACACATGGGCAGTAAATTCTATCATTGACAACAGTACTGTAGACGTACATCTGCCTCCTGAAGTCATCTCCCTTCTCCAACATGTTGGAAATCTTCGCGATGTACTGGTAGATGGTGCCGAGAGCGTTGTAAATTCCACTGGTGTCAATATCAATGTCCTAATTGACGAACTAGACCGTGTTGTTCTCTCCTCCATGGAGTCATGGGGAATAGAACCTGTTATCCGTGAAGCATTACCCTTGGAACCCCTAGTTGTTGAGCTGGAATCTGGAAGTGTTGAACTTCGTCGTTCCTGGATGCTTCCTCTCATAATCCGGGCTCATCCTATCAACCCATGCTCTCTTGCTTTCTTTCACTCGGCTATCATCCCCCTGGCTGATAGATCATTAGTTGTTGCCAAGGCAGCGGCAGCTCAAACATTCCAGAGAAAGGTCGGGTCGGGGACGAAATTTGTTCCTCTTTCAGCTATCCTTAATGCTGCTGTTCAGTTGTCAAGGCAGCTGTGGACTATCCTAACCCCATTCACTAGAAATCCTCCATCGCGCTGGTCAGATCTGAAGGATAGTGGTATTGGTGGTCGAATGTTTGCTGCTCTTATAACCTCAAAAGCTATTCGACCCGTTATTCTCTCGGCGTTGAGACGTCTCGTTTTCTTTGCAGAGAGTGAAGGTCAGTTTTTTTGCGCTTCTTCTAATCTAAAATGTCCATCTTAATGAAGGTTTTCCTCTTTTTTTACATAGAAGCGATTGATGTTATGCGAGGTGGTGCGAAGCAACTTTTGCCGGTTATTTTCCCAATGTTTGAGGAGCTGGGTACGAACAAGGATCAGAGCCTAAAGCAGCAATTAGAAGCTACTTTGAATGTGTTCTTGCCTCTTCTCACCCCAAAAGTAAGATTTTATCAAGGTGTATTTGAGGTATTAGCAATTCTGAGAAAAATTTAGTTATGTTTTTCTTTTGTTACCTAGATGCTTACAGGTCCTTGTCAAACGGCCTACACTAAACTTGTCACTACAAAGAAGTGAGTTTTTTCCTTTACCCCACAAGTAGAAATTAAAAGAGCTGTTGGTAGCATTTATTCGGTTAATAAAGAAAGGAACTGTGGAAATAGAGTGTTCATGGTATTAACCTGGAGGTAGCTATATCTCGCCAATTTATTACCAGTTCCTTAAGTACCCAAATGAGAAGCCGTTAGAGACGGGATGCTTTTATTGTTGGGCTCAGTCATATAATGGTATCATTCTACTTATTCCGGGGCCTACTTAGCAAAGGGATATTTCAACGCTCTTTTTAATTTCAGCCATTCTATTTTATCCAAAACTTAATCAGTATGACTGATCATTCCGCCTATTGTGTGTGCATCGATTAGATGACCTCTGATACGTCGACTGGGCATGTGTACGCTGTTGAAGGCTTTGTCGAGTTGATTTGAGGTATACATTGGGACATAATTCCATATGTAAATCAATTGAGATTCTAGAGACCACCAGTAAATGCAATGGGAAGCGCTTCAAGTCTCCTTTGCTTTAAGATATTAATTTGAGATTTTCTCATGCTGATTTCGGTTGGAGCTTAGATGGCAAGCTCTCAAATAGGAAATCAGTCTAATATAATCTCTTTTTAAGGAAGATGTGCCATCTTTGTTCTTGTATTTCCCTAATTGCACATTTTTGTCATAAGTGACTGTTCTCTAGAATTGAATAAACACGTGTCTTTCCCGGTTAACTGTTTACATATATTGGATTAATGCAAGTGATTACAGTGTACTTTCCATTTCCTTTCAGTCCAATCTATATGGAAATTCTCATGACTATTGTACCAAATCTAACTAGCGATGACATCAAAACTATGCTCGGAAAACTTGAGGAGTATTTTACGGTATGCTTTAAACATAGTTCTACTTAACAATATATAAGTAGAAATTATTTTCATGAATTCGATTCTTTTGCGCAGCCTAACGATCCAGAGTCACGAGCACTGCGAAAGCCAGCCTATCGACTTCTCGAGGCCATTCTTTCATCGCCAAATCAACATGCCAAGAATTTCGCCGTCTCGAATTTGGAAAACCTGATACAATTTATGGCTCGCATTGCTCCTCCTATTACTGTTCCCAACGCAGTCGCAGTGGAAACGCCGGTTGAAACAGACAGCGATCCTCTCAGTACCACAATGGCTGCTCTAGAGCTCTCAGCGAAAGAGCGTAAAGCCTATGTTGTTACAATGCCCTGGAAGGTTCGTCTAAGGATTCTCCGTCATCTCTTGAAGTTGCTTGTTCAGCAGAAACAGGAGACTGATGTAGAAAATGGTACAGGAGGGCAGCCGGGTGAAACGAGTCCTGCTGTGGAGGAGTTTATCAGCATATTCTTACCTGAGGTTAGTAGTAGAAACGATTTTTATACAGTGTTGTTATTTGAAGTTAATGTGGTCTTTTACGGAACAGCAATGAGTTCCATAGTTGTCCCTTTGTTATCGCTCATTAACGAATGTTTTGGTTATTCTTAGTGCCTATGATTTTGTTTTATACCAGTTGGTTAGGGTGATTGTCATCTTATCGCTGTTTGGGCTGAGTTTAAAACAGCAATTAAAATGCAAATGTGACTAATTATAAATTCAATTGATATTTGATTAACTAATCGTTTATGTTAACGATTAAGGAGGCTAGTTGTTGTTCCCAATTTCTAAGTCTGGGTCTCCGCCGGCCTGATCTACTCGAATGGATGATTTGAATGTCTAGACAATTCACCATCTTAATGTTTGATGTCTGATGATTACCTGGCTAACCGACTATGTTATGCAGTTAAAAATTTTTATCTAATGAGATTTTTCTTCTAAATCTTCAAAGGTGTCATCAATTTACCTAATATTGTAGATTGTAGTGGGATTCGGTTGCAATGTAGAAAATTCCATTCCACTAGGAATCAAAACGACAGACTTAACCATTTTATAGCTTAAAACAATCGTTTATTTACTTTATCAACAAGCGTGCGGGTTTAATAGTAGGGATATGTTATAGTATGGTTCGAGTGTTATATAAGTATTATATTACTCCCAGTAAGGAAGAGATTTGCGATGATATTTCTGTGTGAAATTCGGTTAATTATAATTGCAAGTTATTCCTCTTTAGATACCACAGTGCTTGGGTAGTTTGAACAGTGTAGTTCGAGTCATCGCCGGTAGACTCTTGGTGGAAATGGTTATGGCATCAACTGGAGGCGTTCCTCCAGAAAGGGGAGACCTTCCAGTTGGTCGTTCTCGTGTCTCTCACACCGCTGCCTCTGAAGTCTCTGACATGGACGACGATGACGATGAAGAAGGTGGAAATGAAGATGAACGGTCATTCGTAGAGGAAGTCAAAGATCTTAGAGATATCGACGACGATGATGATATTGATGACAATATGAGTGATTCAGGTGTTTCTCGAGTTCCTACAGAGATCGCTTCGGTTCGCACAGCTATTTCTACCACCGGAATGGATCCAGCTGTAGCGGAAAAGGTATGTTACGATACATTGTTAGTGAACCCTTTGCATTTTTAAACTTGTTATTTTGCCAACCCTTTGGTTGCAGATAACATCTGTTACTTTAATCAGATGTGTTGTAAAGGAGGGGTTGGCTGTCTATAGGGGTTTGGGATTTGTTTTGGAGTCCTTTTAAGGCTCAACATTTGCAAACTGAAGTTAACCATGGACCTTCCTTAGAATAGATTAATCTCACTCGCTTATTGTTTAAAATGCTGCCTTCTATAGTGCTTTCTGTTCTGACTTTAGTTTTCCATATTATTACCTCACTTAGTTAACTTTTAATATTGCGGTTCTGGACAATTGACCCAAACGGGCTTATCAATAATTCTGTTATACCAGTCCAGCCAAAAAGTTTATTCACATTGCACTCATTCAATCCTGATCCCTATTTGTAATAAGTAAAACATATAAAATTGTTTGGGAAGGCGTTTCATAGCCTTACTCAGGTTTTCTTTAATTTTCTTCATTTACTTCCCTCGTTAGACGTGCTCCGGTCTGCACAGAATTCTTGCTTTCCTCTGGCCGGTTGTTCTCAACGTGACTCCCCAGAGTATTTCCACCTCCAGCAAATCCGAGCTTCTTCGAATTGAGGTAACAACCAAGTGTGTCTGCCGACTTATCTCTGACCTGCATCTGCGACGATGTCTCATGACCTCCCTCCAGAGTGGTAGAGAGGGCGAAAGTCCAGCCGCAGACATTATTGCCACTGCGAAGACGGCCTCACTGAGCCTCGTCAAACTCCCAAACAAACAGATTGCCCGTCTTGGGCTACAAATTTCTCGCTTGTTGATTGCCTTCGTGGGATACTCGGTGTTTGTCGCCGATATTGTAGTGGCTATTCAGAGTGTTCATTCGACGCATAAACACTCGTTGAGATTCATGGTGAAGAAGATGGTCGAGAAGTTGCTCAAAAAGGGCAGGTGGGTGATATTTTTTTACTCCTTTTGTTCTCAGCAACCTCGTTTATTTTACCTAATTGAAATTTTAAAGAATTTTTTAAAAATGGAAACACATTCCCATGGACGGTGGTTTTTCGGGAGGAGTGACTTGTTTGTTCATTGGGTTGTTTCAAATGCTTCTTCTGGAACGAATTCCAGTATGAAGGGGTGCTGTGTTGTTTAATAAAGGTGGTGGAAGAATTTTTCAGGGAGATCCCATAGTACTACCCCCCCCCCCCTCTCAAAGATGAGAGTTGAAAACTCCTCCCTAAATGTGCCTGAGAGTTATGTGTGAAGTCCTGTCCACTGCACGTTCAAGACTCGTCGGTGAACTTCCAATGATACGGGGTTGGTTAACTTACTTGGGACGGAACGGGACATGAATTTCTCATAGGGGTGAATTTGGGGGGAATTTCACGATAAATTTCCTAATGATCTCTGGAATCCGGAAGTGTGTTAACATAATAGAGTAATTTTCGGTGTCTATATCATTTCAATAACTTCAGGTTATTTGAGGTGGACTTCGGATAAGACCACGCAAAGTTTGTGTTTTTGGGAGAGGTGTTGAGTTTGAAGCTTTTCATTGTCGCTCTCTCAATTCATGCTTAATTTAACGGCTTCTAAGCTAGCAATTACACTTGTATAGGCCGAGTTATGCAAAGGAAGGCATTCCTGTCATTAATTTGGGCTATGCCACTCGCTCAATCTCCATTATGGGGGGGGGGGGCTTAATTTCCCCATGATTGTGGTTAATGACTCTTAAAAATGTCTCAATGTCTTCCCTTTCTAGTCTGCAAGCCTTGCTGACTTTGATGAACTCAAGTTATCACAAAATGATTCGCAATAGCGCAAAAATCCTTCGTCGTGCAGAGAAGAAAAACAGCGGAGATGACAAAACACTTCCAGGTGATCAGGCTGATGAGGATGATGACGATGATGAATTGGCGAGTGTGGCCACCTCTAGACGCGCTGCCTCTGTGTCTGGGGCATCTCATTTATCTGCTGGTAGTGCTCTCTCCTTATCCAAGCGCATTCATACAGCCAAGTATGTTTCAACACCATTTTACAATGCTCCTTCCTTAAAATGCACCGGTAGATGTGATTATGTGCACCGTCAACTCACGAGAAATTGAAATTTTTATTAATGGCAAATCGCCTGAGTACAATAAGAGTTTAAGGAGGGGAAGGGGGTGGGGGGTGGGGGCATATTGAATCCATGTAGAAGTGAAAGCAAAAGCTTCTAGCGACGAATTACGTATAGGTTAACTTTGTCATATTCAATTACCGGAATTCCAGCATTTGACTCCATTTTCCTCTCCCTATAGGACTCATGTCCACAATTCTCGCAGCCTTTTAACTTTTTTTAATTGGATACACCGGTAGATCTGCATTATGTAGTCAGTAACAGTTAAACATCCTCTATTTAACAAAACTCACTGACTGGAATCTCGACGTTCTTCACATGTTCTATTGGCGACATTTTTCAGTGTACGGGAATTTGCTTAGAATTCTTATTTTTATGCAACACGAAACCGCATAACCTCTCCTACCTTTGGCTTTGGGGTATTTTCCTATACATAGCTAATATTCATTCATCGCCAGCAAACTATTGGTTTAGATGGGAACCATCTAGGAAAAAGGAAATCGGACATTGGGTTGAGCTTTGGCAAAATGACTGTCCAGCACTCTGTAGTGATAGTTAGCCTGAATTGATCGATTGGGGTGGCTGGTCGTGGTCAAGTTCGTTGTAGTTCCTTACTTTATGCCTTCTTTCTTCCCCCTTTATAGCCTCACAGAAATCCTGGCGCCATCCAGTGACGAGGAAGAAGAAATCCGCCATGCCGAAGAGCGGAAAAAGGCTCTAGAGGCCAAGACAAAGAAGGTGGAACCCGAACGCCGTAGACGCCAAGGCCTGGCGGCCGAATTAGAACGAGCTGCCTCGGTGTCGGGGCTCAGCAGACGTTCCAAGCGTAGTCTTCTTCGAAGAGGATTGGAAGGCGATGAGAGCTCTGATGGGGATGATGAAGACTTTGATGATGGAAGTGAGTTAATTCATCTTCAACTTTTTATGAAGCTTATAGTGGTGATGTTCTTATATAATCTACTACAGTTACTATAACTCCAGAAGGAGACTAATCATACAAAATGAGTCCATTAACAAAATTTGTTGACGGGATTGTGAATATATTTCTCCCTACGAATCGGGTTAGGTCGGATTATAATGGCTTAGGGATGACTGAACCTACCATTCTTTTTCTACGTGACCTAGAAGTAACCTGGCAATGTCGTGTCATGGATATAGCTGTAAAAGAATGTTTCTAGAGATGTGTTCTTCATTACTCATTAACTGCTTTATTCTACTCTCTGTAGAATTTATCTCTGGAGTGTAATGGGCATTCAACATACCTGAATCAATTGAAATAATCTTCCTTAGATTTAGAATATTAGCAATTCGTTTTTGGATTGGCAGTTCATCACACCAATCGGGTAATAGTGCTAGTCTATCTAAGGTTAAATTTGGGTCGAGGTTGTGTGTGATCTCCCCCCCCC